AACCAAACGCACCCTAAATGTACTTGCACAATGCAGTAAGATACATATTGATTTTATTGTTTCTTTTTATTCATTGTCTATTGATATAATAAAGTTTTATATGATTTTGAGAACGCGGTAATGTTTTTATTTTCGAATAAAATATAAATTTGAAGATATTGTAATTAAAATTTTGAAAAAAAACAATATTGATAATAATATCAAATAAACTATTTAAAAGTTCTCGTTTTTTTATATAATTTATTTGATTCAATTTTTTTATTGTAATTTAATTTAGGTATAATCATGAATCAATTTATTTTTGGTTTAATAATATAATTTTTTTACAAAGATAATAATTAAGTATTCTACTAGTTTAACAACGAGTAAATTTATTTTTGGTGTAATAATATAATTTTTTATAAAGATAATAATTAAGTATTTTATTAGAACTCTACGATTATCCTAGTTATATTTTAGATTTTTTATACTTAAAATATGATGTTTATCTTGTATATGATTACGTTTATCTGCAGTTAGTTACACGAATTCAAAAATGAAAGTTTAATAAGTAGTACGTATGCACAATTTACTCGTAATCCTGGATTTTAAGTAATATGCATCAATAAACAATATTTAATGCATAAAAAAATGTTTTTTAAGAGTTTTTGTCAAATGTTTTATGATATAGTATAGATGAGTTGGACTAACCACAAGGGTTTGACATAGTGGTTGAGATTCTAGGGGACATGGTGGAATATCTAATCTGCACAAGTTTGATTCAAGACTTATACCATAAGTGTAGCCACTGATTTTTATCAGGGTTGATTTTCTATAGTCCCAATTGACTTAGATTAATTCATTCATAGTCTAAAGAATTGTTTGTTTATCTCTTAATAGTTCTATTAAAAGACAACATCTGAATCGTTAAAAGGTGAATCTTGTTTGACGAAAAAAAATATGTTTTTTAATGATTTTAAAAACTCTCTGAATGTTTTTGTATCTTGGATCCCTCCCTTAATCACTCAACGCCCTAATTTCATTATGAACAATTACCAAATAATTTATGTCATTTTACATTACATCATAAGAGATTTTTAATCATTCTGATCACTTAATTAGTATGCACTAAACCATTTAACAATTGTCAAACGGTCCCTAAGACACCCTTCCAAAAATGACATAAGTTTCGTTACAAATGGTTTAAATGAGAAATTTTATAAATTCAATTACTTAATATAAAAATAAAAGCAGAATTTCTTTTATTTAATTCAAGTTGACCGTGGACAATTATTAGTCAAATTTTGTTTGTTTATGTCACAAATAATGACCTTGTTTTGGTTTATTGACCAAAATCATTAAACAATGGTTATTCAATTTAACAAACATGTACGGATGCACGAAAACCCAAGTCTGGTAGCCGATTAAATTCCGTGAGAAATTAACGTCCGAAATGATACAGGGCATGACCCAATATTTATTAGGAGAGCTTGCAAGTCGAGTCCTGTGGGCATGTCTCGTTAGATTCATTCTCAATATGACGGGTCAGTCAAGTGATGATGATGAATCTTTGAATCTGGTCGCATGAATGGTTTCAAATCATGCATGATGAATGTGGGTCATGGGTCATTTTGGTGTCTATTTTAACCATTTTTATTTTAAAAATACAAGTAGTATAACTATATATATAAATATTTTCATTAAAGTATGTAAAATGTTTTAAAAGACTTTACAATTATTATTTAGTAAACTATATAAAAGGAATCTATTACCTAACATTAAGCAATTTGCAATAAAAAAACAACTCCGTAGTTATCATCACTCCTGCCATTATTCACATGATATAATACATAGTCGGTTTCAGTAAGAAGGAGAGATAAGATGATAAACGTAAGAAAAGATTTTCATTGTTAGATACATATTACCAGATCAATTTCCGTATCAAGCACGATTCATGGATGAGTTTGCGATTAAAGATGATCAAGGATCGTCCAGATCATTTCTTACGCTTCTCACTTTAACTTTCATTCTCATACGATCATTCGCTTATAAATCATATGATATAGTGCACATATAACATCTTCTCTTCCAATATTTAGATTATTAATATTTAATAATCAATTATTTTATAAGATATATGATACCCGTCATAGGTTTACTTTGGTTTCGCCTTTTTTTAAACACATTAAAAATTCTTTGCCTTTTCCTATCCATCTTGAATTTGGTTGAGCAAGCTCTTAGCTTTCATCGTGAATGATAGAGGAATTGCTCAATGGTAGAGTAACGCCATCGTAAGACGTAAGCCGTAGCTTGCTACTGAAAAACGTACAGGCTGGATCAATAATAGGTAGGGATGACATGATTTGAATTTGTGATATTTTGTACCAAAAACAAACGCGCTACCAAGCTGCGCTACATTAAACATTAGCTCTCCCTGAAAATGAGGTGATCCAACCGCACCTTCCTGTACGGCTATGATACTGTAAGAAAGGTCTAACAAAAAACAGTTTGACGTCATGATTTATATTCTTTTAGGTTCTATAATCCACCACTATAGTCCTAAAAAATATGAAGGTCATCTAACTTGTCATCTATATTTGAAGGTTGAAATGTGGGACTCTGTATTTCAAATATTTATATTATATTGGTTTTATATAATTATTATATTGATCGATTAATATTTAATATATTAATTAATATTTTGTACTGAGTTTAGTAATTTATTTATTTTATGGTGTTTTAAATTACAAATTACATTTATATAATTTAAAATTTTATTACAAAAATAAAAAACAACATAAACAAAAATGTGACTTTTTTTGTTATAATATTGAGTAATGAAATATATATATATATATATATGTATATATATATGTGTATATATATATATATATATGTATAACGTTTGTATACTGATGAAAATTCACAACTAAAGGGAAAACGATACGATCTAGTATGCGGTGTTAGACCCAACCAAGAGAGGCTCTGATCAGACTCAAAACCAAGTATATAATTGAGCTACAAAAAGAAAAGTCTCGTCCAATCGGCCTCCAACCGAAGATGCATCTGTAATCGTATGCGTCCTCAGTGGATGAACGATTACATGGTTTGATTCAGTGAATCAACTCTCTGTTATTTGCTTTATTCCCAATAACAGATTTTCTATTAGGGTTGTTCATTCTCGTTTTTATTGGTTTATAAATTTTGTAATCGAGGTATTAGTTATTATCGATCAATCAAGAAAACCTTCTATCTATTTCTCTTTTCTTATATTTTCTCTGTATTCATGTTGTGAGCTCACACTTGCTCGTAGAGTGCTTATTTGCCTTCTTTTTGCATAAATTAGGCGTATCAGGAAACTTTAACAAGGTGACACACCCAAACTCTCTTGTTACAAGCTTTTGTAATTAGTTTAGTTTCGAGCAATATAAGAACATTCATGACTCATCGATATTTGACATCTGTTAAGGACGTATTAGTTTTCATGTTACCATGAGATCATAAAGTAGTGGCACATGCTACCATATGATATTATACAGGTCTGCCCATAAGTCATGATATAACCGACAACAAGGGGGGGGGGGAGGGGGGGTGTTAATTAACGGTATTGGGCTTTTCCACTAAAATTACACATAGCTTTAACTGTTACATACATACATACATACATACATACATACATACATACACACACACATATACATACATATACACATACATCCATACACACATACACACACACACACATATATATATATATATATACACACACACACACACTAAGTTTTATAAAAAATGTAAATTAATCTTAATACCTTTACATGGGACACTTAATGGAGCAAGGCTAACGAAAGTTGGGAACATGGATTTAAAAACTTAAATGAAATCCAATAATAAATGGATTTTAAAACTATGTTATATTGTATGCTAAAATAAAGATTTTTTTTTTTAGAGAAATATTTAAATAAAGAGAAAAAAAAAAATAACATAGCTGTTGGAAATGTTTTTAGTTTTCACTAAGTCATGTATAGATAAAACTGTCTGCGTAGATTAATGTGTTTGTATAGATTATGAAAGTTTTTTCATAGATGGAAGAACATGTTTTTATTAGGCGAGACAAGTTTAGAAAAGATTTGGCTTTCTACATAAAGCTCTCCCAAAAGCTAATCATGTAAATCATTTTCTATATTATGAAGTCATTATTAAACTATTATGTATAACTCATCGAATAAATTTTGAGACATATTAAACCTCATAAGTTACTAATACTTAGGGGCCGTTCACCAAATGCTTACTCGGGTAAACGCTTACCAAGTCAGCTTACCTCATCAGATGAATATGGTGAGGACCAAATATCTTACCCGAAAAGAGCAAGACAAGGACCAAAAGTCTTACCGGCGGTAAGTGAGGGCGACGACTCTTACCATGGTACGCACTTACCGGGTAAATTGTTGCATGTGATGTCGTTTTGGTGAACTAAAATCTTATCCAATAAATAAATAATAATATTAAATTTTATTGATAAACACTTACCGAATAAATATTTAATAAACGACTCGTTATTTTTATATTTTTAAGCATAATTTAATCTGATTCTCTATATAAAGTGAATGTTGTCATTCTTTTACAATGTTTTAATGCATAGTTTCACATAACTTTCAGACCAAATTACATTTTTCGTCCATGTAGTTTATTAAAATTGCATATTTTATCCTTATAGTTTTAAAATTTTAATTTTCATCCATATAATTTGTAATTTATTTATATTTTCATCTCTGAAGTCAAAGTACTACTTTTAAGTATGAAAAACTAAAATAAAAATGAATTATAAATCATAAAAATAAAAAAATCAAAGAAAAAATTAAATCATAAAAACAAAAATATGTAATAAATTATAAATCATAGAAATAAAAATTATAATTTCAAAACCTTAAGGACAAAAATAAATTTTTTTAATAAACCACAGGGACTAAAAACGTAATTTATTGTTAACTCTTAAGTCATCTAATCTAGAAAAGACCAGAACGACGGCTAATTGCGCTGCCAGAAGTTTCTGACGGCATCCTCCGATACCACCGACTCCTCCATCCATATATATATACGAATTTAGAACCCTAATCTGCTCATTCCATCTCTCAGTTCTGTCTAATTATCGGAATCTAACACTCATTTCTTAAGATGTGGAATCGAACCTTCCAGAAAACCGATGTGGAATCGGGAGCGAGTGAACCGCTGTATCCAACGATGGTGGAGTCGCCGGATCTCCGGTGGTCTTTTATTCGTAAGATATACTCGATCGTCGCAATACAATTACTTCTCACCGTCGTAGTCGGTGCCGTCGTCGTCTCTTATCATCCGATCGTTACTTTCCTCACAACTACCAGAGGCGGACTCGCTTGTTATATTCTTATCATCGTTACTCCTTTCATCAGTATGTTAAATTCAACTTCGTTTACTTGATTTGGTTTGAATTTTTTTAGAGTAAATCGTGTGTTGATGAGTTTTATGTTGTGGTGCAGCTCTGTGCCCATTGTCTTGCTATTATCAACGTCATCCTGTAAACTATGTGTTGCTTGGGATCTTCACCATTGCTCTTGCTTTTGGTATTGGTTTGTCGTGTGCTTTCACTAGCGGTAAGTTGAAAACGAACGGTTTAATTTGTTTTTCTCCAGTTTATATGCTTCAGATGCACTCAAAATCACATCTACTAGGTTTATTGTGCAGTTTTAATTTCCATTTTTTTTGTCATATGATGATCCTAATTTGTAGAATTATCGATAATGCAACTTTTAGTTCGAAATTACATTTGTGGATTGAAATATCAGATTTGTCATGACATATTGTTTTAATGGTCATTGAAGATGGAATTTAGCCATTGGATTACACCAGCACATGTATAGAACAGATGGGGAAATTGCCATCACAAAGTGTGATTGGCCTAATTTTCACAGAAAAGGAGAATTAAATTCCTCATCATGAACTATTTATTTAAATTTTATGGATTGGTGATGCACAAGATGAATCCCTTGTAATTTGTTACAATGGTTGAAGTTAGGATGATGAGACGCTGAGACTTTTTCCCATTATTTCGAGGGTCATAATGCACATAATTCGTGGATAGAAGGTGAAGAATGAAATTGTCAATATTTCTTCCATGGTTAGGTATATTCTTGGGGGGGGGGGGGGGATAATGGAAGCAGGATAGAGGTTAGGTCTACGTATAAAGAATAGAGATTAGGTCTCTCCATATCTCACCGTCCTGGACTGGTAGACAATGGTGGACTGTAAGATCCCACCTCGGTTGGGAGGCGAACAAAGGTTGTTTTATAAGGAACCGGATACCTCATTTATCATACGCGCTTTAAAACCGTAAGTCCATGTGTGGACAAACTGACAATATTTGGTACAGTTAGCCTAAGATGTTATATACCCATAGTTGTTTCAAGATTGTGAACAAAATAATTAGGAATTGCAATTCTCAATCATGTGAAATAATTGCAGGGAAGGTGATTCTGGAAGCTGTTATTCTAACTGCAGTCGTCGTTGTGAGTCTCACTTTATTCACATTTTGGGCGGCAAAGCGTGGCTCCGACTTCAATTTCTTGGGTCCTTTCTTGTTTGGTGCTCTTATGGTGCTTATCGTCTTCTCCTTCATTCAGGTCAGTAAAACTCCCATTTACTTCAGTTATAGATACATACATGCTTCGGCTTCTAATTTGGTCAAGTTTTATATTTGTAGATATTGTTTCCTCTGGGAAAGATTTCAGTGATGATTTATGCCGGTCTTTCTGCTATAATCTTCTGTGGTTATATTGTATATGACACCGATAATTTGATCAAGCGGTACTCATATGACGAGTACATTTGGGCTGCTGTGGCTCTTTACCTGGATATCATCAATCTTTTCATTTCTTTGCTTACCATATTTAGAGCCGTTGACCGGTAGACGGATGATGGTTGTTTTCGGTATGTTAAATTCGTACACAAATTGTATCTCGAAAGAATTTGATATGAAAATGTTGATAGTAAATGGAGTTTATCCTTGTTGCAATATTTCAAAGATGGCATATTCTTATGTGAGGTTTCTTATTCCCTTCATTTGTTTTGTGAGTTTGGTAAGTTGGATAACTTGATATTGTTTTTTTTTGGGTAAAAGTACCTAAGAAAACATGAATGTTTATAAGATTAGGTAGGGGGTATGGGTGTTCATCGGTTGAAATCCAATGGATTTACGTGGATCTAATCTGATCCAATCGATAATTGGATCTGATGAGTTTGTCCATTGGATATTATTATTAATTATTCATTTGGTTGAATTGGTTCATCCAATATTTTGATACCAATTAGTCCACAATTTAATCCAATCATTTATATATTTTTTATTTTATTAAAAAAAACACTAATGTAAATATCAACTAAAAACAATATCGTCATGTGTTAATAATTACATTGGTTGGTCATTAGACTAGATCGGTTGGGTTTTATTGGATTTGGGACTATCATCTAAAAACTGACCGATACAATTTGAAGGTTGAAATTCTAGATCTGATCCGATTCAATTATAATTGGATATCTGATTATTGTCAGACAGTTTTGCCTGATCTTAGTTTTTTAGAAGAACGAGATGTTCAAATAAAAAGGCTAGATATCGTGAGAAGATAAAAAGAAGAGTCATTGAAAAATCACTATTTTCCTCGTTCAAATTGGTTTTCTAATCGTTTCTCTTTCGGATTGATCCAAACTTCACTACTTCCGCAATATCCAGGTCCGCAATATTCAGGCAAAAAAAAAATCAAATTCGACCTAGATATGCAATCGATGACCATATTTGCATTTGCGACGGTGTACTGGTTGAATTTGACATTTTCTGTCTTTTAGCTTGGTTTACAATATATTGCGGATGTAGTGACATTTGAGTTAAACCGAGAGAGATGGTTAAAAAACCAATTTGGATGAGGGAAATGGTTGTTTGGACTAATTTCTCCAAAAAAAAGAGATCTAAATGTGAATCATTGAAAATGATCTATTTGAATATGTGGACGTCTTTTAATAATTTGTAATATGACGATTTATATTTACATCTCTAAATTGATCTTTTCAATTATTAACATATGAACTTTCTTTATCATATTCTCATGATATTTATCCTTTTTATTTGAAGGGTGAATTGCATTAAAAAGTAACGTACTGTAACTTGATTTTTATTTTGGGTAACGTACTTTCAGAACTTTCATTTTGGTATCTAAAATGTACAGTTTTAAACATTTAAGTACCGGATAACCGGTTGAAAATTAATTTTAGATTAAAAAAATCCATGTAACCAACCACGTCAACAAATAATATTGAGTTGGATACCACATTACTCGTCACATCAGGATGATAACCGGTTAATGCTTCAACTAGTTATTCGAGTACTTGAATGTTTAATACTTTACATCTTAGGTATCAAAATGGAAGTTTTGAAAGTACGTTACCCAAAATAAAAATCAAGTTAAAGTACGTTATTTTTTTTCATGTAATTTACCCTTGTTTAAACAGACGCCTTTTAGACAAATGTACAAGTATGAATTATCGTCTAAATTTGGTGTTCTTATTCAAATCATCCGTTCTTGTGTAGATGGACATTTGATTTTATAGATGGTAGATGGGCTACAAATCATTTGGCAAATATGAAAACAAACAAATACAGAGTCCGTATTCCTTTTCATGTTGTAGAAATGCAGAAATTTTATGTCACCAAGTAATTTGCGTAGTTGAATGTGATTTAGGTGTGTGTTCTACCCAAGGAAAAATGACTTTTGACGTGATGTACGTATATTTTCTACTCGATTACGTTTTATAAAAGACGACGACTAAGATTACACTGGTAAGTGCTTACCGGCAAAATTCAATATTATCACTTATTTACCGAGTAAGATTTTAGTCCACCAAAACGGTATCATATGCAAAAATTATAAAGCTAACCGTGGTAAGAGTCATGATTACTACTTAACGGGTAAGACTCTTGGTCCTTGTCTTAGCACTTACCAGGTAAGATTCTTAGTTCTTGTCATATTTATCCCGTAAGGTAATGTGACTTGGTAAACACTTACCCGGATAAGCGTTTCTTAAACGGCCCCTAAGATTCGTGTTTGTTTATATTGTATTAGAATGGGGTAAATTACTTTAGGAAATACATTTTTATTTAGTTGTCATTGAAACTTTTAAAATAACGTTCGGAAATCTATATTCCAACATGTTCTTTAAAATTTATGTTTCATGTGTTTTCTCATACGGAGTATATGCTGTGTATACAATTCTTTGATTGTTTAAGCATGTTATCAGTTCTTTTTATAATTATAAACATATTATGCATGAAAAGTCCAGGCCAACCTTGGGTATGTCTAGCCCATACGACCGGACAAGACATCAAAGTGCAAGGGGGCATCAAGTTTTCATTTATTACTAGTTTGGGTTTAACAATCTGGGAATTGGATAACTGAATTTTAACTATGTCCCCCTCCAATTTGTATTTTTTATTAAGACAAATTGCATAAAAAGTAATGTACTTTAACTTAATTCTTATTTTAGGTAACGTATTTTCAAAACTTTCATTTTGGTACTCAAGATGTAAAATTTTAAACATTAAATACCCGGATAATATGTTAAAACATTAATCAGTTACCATACCAAATGTGATGAGTGATAAGATGAAATTGGGTTGGATAGCAAAAAAATTGTTTGCATTCGTTCATTTATAAAATAAACGAACTAAACTAACTTACCGCCGAACGGTTGGCTCGTTTACGACCAACATCAAACAAGATAAAAAAAACTGATCCCCAAAACATAGACAAGACTTCTTTGGACTGTTTAATTTTATTACACATGAAAATATACACAAATCAAAAGGGAGACGGAAGAAGGGCATTTTACCCTAAAAACGATTAATAGTTGATGAAAATAATAATACTAAATAACACCAACCAAACTTATATCATCAAATTCATTACACACCCCTATAATTATAATAATCTCCCTAATAACCCCCCAAAATACTACTTAACCCCTTTACAAATACTCCTTACCCCAAAATTCTTTTCATCTCGATCTCACTGTTGTCGACCGAGCTTCTTTTCAGCTACAATCGATAGAAGTCTCGATATACCCTGAGTCCACATGTCGTATTCTCGTTGGTTCCTGCACTCGAACTCCACCACTCCACGGATGGTGGTCCTCAGCCCGAAGTACCGCCGTTGCTCACCGCCTTCAAATAGGTGCCTCCCGGGCCATGCCGGAAGGTTTTTGCAAACTTCCAAAACCACGTCTGAAATATTCGGGTTGTTAGGGGGTACGTATTTTCAAAATACGAGTATATGAATCGATGCCGTTAAAATCACTTACTCTTCTTCTTTTTTGTGATCGTAGATCCAACGTGTTTGCTTTTCATCTTGAGCATTACTTGACCCGTTCGATGGATGTAAACGGATACGATTTTCCAGTGGAGATCGCCTACATTAAGTTCCGAATGTGTTAGAAACTTGTATTAGTATTGCTGATTTAAGAAAATGTTCAAATCAAAACCGTACATGAAAGACCAATTAACTTTTACAGTCAGGTTTTGGTGAGAATAAAAGTTGTGGTGAAAAGGTGTGCGCAAAATATTCATATACCTTCATCTACATTCAACTACCTTTATTTATCTATTTTTTATTATCATGACCAAAACTTCAATAAATTCATGAACGTGAAAGTGATTAAATGTAACTTAAAAGGCAAGAGTTGGGCTTATGGATGAAAATAACATTGACTTGCAAAATACAAGAACGAAAACCGTAGTTTTTAACAAAACACAAGGAGGTTAGATGTTTACCGTTACGGGTGCGTTTGAGAAGCTCGCTACCTCGAGCAAGAAGTTCTTGGTTACATATGCCGAGAAAGTTCTCTTCGGGAAGAAGCTCTTCGCAGTAACTACTACTCTTTCCATGGTTTTTGTTTTCTTTAACTCCTCTATCAACTGGTATAACTGCTGCTATATTCCATACCTCCTTCAATGCCCTTGCCTTCAAAGTCGCCGCTCCACGTAAAGCTACAAAAACACGAGGTTTTAACGGAACAGCAATTTGTATTATATAAAACGAGCTATTTAGCTCAATGATCTTCTCCAAAAGTTGGTTTTGCAAGATGATCTTCTAGCTTATTTTTAAGTTTCCATGGGAGCAGATTGTTATATTTAGGTAGATAACCTTAAATGAGATTTTAATCAAATTGATAACATTCTCATGAACATGAAATCCATTTCTCTAGATCAGGAGAACATGAATTTAATTATGTTCGTTTCTCTAAATCAGGAGAACATGAATTTAATTAAAAACTTATTTAAGGTCGTATCTCGAAACGTTGTTTTTGAATTAAAGGCCACGTCAAATAAAGGCCAGAGCTAAAAAAAATTCACCCTCCGTTCTAAAATAAGTGTCTACATTACTACTTTAGTTTGTCCCAATATGAATGTTCACTTTCAAAAGTAACTTTGTGTTTTCAAAACCTTTTTTTTACAAAAGAAAGGAAAGAGAGAGAAAGAATAGGAAAGTAAAAAAAACGTGTACTGAAACTCTTTTTTTTGAGAAAACGGAAGGAAATTTGAAGGAAAACAATAATAACTTTCCTCAAAAAAGAAAAAATTTACAATCATTTAAAAAAATTATCAAAATTACAAAACTACCCAATATCTTATTCTAAATAATATATTTTCAAAAGGTATATTAGTAAAAATGACCTATTTCATTTCTTTTCTATTCTGTTTAAAAACATGAAAAATCATTTTCCTCCCATTTTAAGAGTACAAATCATTTTTTTCTTTTCCTTCAATTTCTTTTTTTCCCCAAATTCGAACACAACATAAATATCTACTTTCTCATTTTACTCTTAAGTATGGGACTGACAAAGCTTCTCTTACTATAATTAAGAGTAAAATTATCTTTTTATTAAATAAAAAAAGTAATTATGACACATTTTATAAAATTTCGTGCCTTTTTTATTGTGTATATTTATTTTGGGACAGGGTGAGTTGGTTACCTGTGGCAGCAGCGGCAGTGAGAGTTAATATATCTCCATGGGATTTGACGTTAACAGCAGAATTGACCGCAGCGATAAGGTGTTCACGTTCGGCTCCCATGGCCTCTGCGGCCTCCACACATTGGGCGGCGACCAAGGTGGCAGCGGAGGCCACAGCCATGTCTGTTTTGGCCATTTGTTCATCTTTCCTGGATGCTGACGCTGCTGCGGTGGCAGCTGCTATGGTGGCCACAGCTGCCGCTACGCCAGCAACGGAGACCGCCGCATGGAGTTGGGCATTGTGGGCTCTGGTCTCCTCCTTTTTCTTCTCTCTCCTCTCCTTTAACCACCTTCCAACTGTTTTTCCGGCAGGGGTGCTGCTGCCACCGGCGCCATAACCACCGCGTGCATTGGCGAACAGGGGTTGTAGTGTGTTGTTTGCTCGAAGATACTGCAATACAATGCAAACCTTGACTTAGTATGAATGCAAACTAATGTTTGACTTCTAAAAGTCAAAATTACAACTCAACAACTTCAAAATAGAAAATTTTGCTTGGCTTAGGTTAAATCTATAAAACTAGAGTAAATTACTATTTTTGTCTTTGCAGTTTAGGTTAAATCTTATGTTTTGTAATATATTGCTATTTTTATCTTCATAATTTACAATTTGTTATTGCTTATATTCTTATGGTTTACTATTTTTCTGAATTGGTCTTGATTCCTTGTATTTTAAAGGTAAAAATAAATCACTGGGATCGAAACAACAATAAATTATAAGAATGAAAATAGTAATAAATTACAAACTATAAAAGACAAAAACCAAATTCTAAACTATAGAGATGAAACTCCGATTTTTAACAAAACAGAACTAAACACGTAATTTAGCCTTATAAAAATAACCTTTTTAAGATTAACAAAAAATAACTATCTATTTCTCAAAATACATGAGCCAAAACCCCTTCTTTTTATCTTTTTGTGGGCCTGCTTCACATAAACTATCAATGAAACAAAAATATTCAAAAAAGGGGGTTTTGTTCATTGTTTTGCTAACTAGACGGCTATTTTGACAATTCAAGTTATTTTTGTGATTGTATTATCTCTTACTTGACAAATATCAATGTTTAATAAGGAAATTAATCAAAATAGTTATTTTTTAACTTTAACTTAATCTATTCGTCATTTCTCTCTTAATATTACAAAAAAGCCGTGACTTCTATAAGTAGCAACTTCTTATCAACTCGCAAAGAGGTTAAAGTGTAAAAAAAATTATGAACATTATCTGCAAGTACAAGGATCAAATCTGTAAATTAGTTCTAATACTTCAGTGGCGGATGTCCTTTATCTAATTTACAGATTTGGTCCTTGTACTTGCAAACCATGTTCAAAAACTTTTTTTTTAATATTTGAACACTGCATAAATTGAGAAGATGTCACTTATGAAGGTGTGATATTTTGAAATTTATGTTCCTCGGGTTAGGAGGTAGGAGATAAATGAATAAAAAAATAATCCAAAAACTAAAAATAACAACTTCTATTAATTTTCCTTTTTAATATTCAAATATGAATTGAACATTCTCCCTAGTTATAGTTTCACCATATTATAAGGAATAGGATGGGATGGGATGGGATGGGATGGTTTGACATCCAAACTCATTTTGGACTGTTGTTTGAAATTGGGATGGAGGGGGCCCTATCAATTACTTGCAGAACTGTTGAGCAAAGAGAAGACAAGAGACAACTGTGATAGATAGCAAGCAGGGTGAAAGGAGTACCCACCAGTATATAAACAGAGATGACTGTAAGAACATGGCTAGAGGACAGTGGTTAAAAGAGCACGACACCATCCCCAAAAAAGTAGGTAAACATTTTTTTTAATATGTTCAAATATTTACCAAATCTAAAACACTGCCCTTTTTTTTAAAATACCTGTTACATAAAAAAGCGTACATTCTGGAACAATAAATTTCTGTTCATGGAAAAATTACAAGAAAGAAAACTGTTTCGTTTGTCAGGTCCCTATATACTTCATGGGTTTTAAAAAAACATTTTCTTTTTTGAAATATTTAAAAATGTCATGTAAATTGCCAAACAAATTATTTTCATCATGTTACAGTTTTCAAGAATTTTTGACAACTTCAGCCTTCCACTATTGATTTTTACAAGTCTTACATGGATAAAGGTTTATGTATATAAATTAATCCGTCTGTATGAAACAACAAGATTTTTGTTTCCGAGAGTTTTTTTCATATATTTTTTAATTAAGAGTGGTAAGTTTAGAAGAAAAAAACTTGACTTTCTACATAAAGTTTACTTAAGTAATTTTTTATACTATTAACCTGCTATCAAACATTCACGTATAGTTAAAATGAATAAGTTGTGAGTCTCATTAAACTTATTAAGCTGCTAACAAACAAATAAGCCTTATAATGGAGGAGGTATTATTATTCATGACCTCTAAAAAATATAGAGTTTATTATTTTAATACGTTTAAAAGAAGACTTGTAATTATGTTTTGGTTTAGAGTAAAAGGATAAAAGATATGAGAACAGCAATGAGTGAAATAAGATGACATCAATAAGAGAAGAGGGTACTTGCATTTATCATCATCAAGAGAAACCTAGAAAAAGAAATTAAAGCAAATACTAAAAGACCTCTTAAAGTGATAAAGTCTACACTTGACCCTCACAGTTGTCCAAACACTACTGATGCCTTTTCGGGACCTTATTAATCAAGATTTGCAGATCTTCACTTATTTTCTTCCTATCTTTTGTTTATTCATCAAAAGAAGTTATTAAGGCTATATGCCATTTCCATAAAGTAAAAATATCTAAATGCATGTACAAGTTTCAATGCATTAGGTACAAGTCAACTTAGCATTAGCATTTCAATTTTACCTTAAAAGGAGATCAATAATATAACCATTAAACTCATTTTTTACTTTACTTAAAAAAGAGATTTTTACTTTCTTCTCATACTTGCACTATATATCTTAACATAAAGGAAAAACTACAAAAATGTTGATTGTAATAAATTTAAGAAGACCCATTTTCTTTATCTTTTGCATAAGATATTTTACATTGATATCTGAGAATATTTGATTGGTTTCTCTTAAAGTCATGTACCGATTAAGCAATTTGTGTGGATTTGCCGCTCTGTCTAAATTTGGAAGGATTGTTTGGGATGGTTTTTCAGAAGATGGAATGAACAACATGTTTGGAAAAAAAAACTTAGATTTAAAGTCATCCCCTAAAAGCTTGTTGAACAAATCATGTTCTATATCATTAAACCACTAACAAACAATCATATATGGCTGACTGACTCGATAAGATATTAGTCTCGTTCTGCTCACAAATAGGCCTTAACAAGGGTGTTGCTGATCCTATGTTTCTTTAGTCTGTACTTTTCTACTTTAGGGAATGATTCTTTGCTTCTTTAGGTGATCTATACCCACTTTATATCTTTTACATGAAAAAACTACACGAGGATTGATCAAAGTATTGCCAATCCCCAAATCCCAGAGGCTCTAATTAGACTCGATCTTATCTTAATTTACAGGTAAAAAAGATGCAACTAATTCAGGAAACCAACATTTACTGAACTGTAACTCATAGTAAACGAGCAAAAGGTGCAATTAAATGAAGCCAAAAAGAAAAGCTGGGCAAAAGTCTTGTCGACTTAAAACGATAATAAAGTTAAAGTTATTGCCGGCGATCGGAGGTCCCTAGACATATAGACTCAGTGAGGGAGAGAAGGAGGAGGCTCACGTCATGCGGCGCCTCTCTCTCTCTGATTTTGGATTCAGATTTGAAAGAAACGATCGAATCACAATAATTGCCTTGTATTTCATATTATTTTTACAACAAAAATTCAAATAATCTTTGGATTTCAAGTCAAAAAGCAAAAAGTGAGAGAGACAAGGGTTTCATTGAAAAAGAGTAAAGCAGACGATGAAGAAACAAATGAAGTTTTCACTCGTACACACTCCTTTTAGCTTTCTTGTGCCTTAAATTTCAGAAATCATATGAATAGTGATATACACAAAAAACGAAAGAGATGAGTTTACCTTGACGACATCGTCGTAATCATCGGAAGGTGAGATCGGAGGACTGTCTGTTTCCTCCGTGAGTGCATTTAATGGTCCACTGCTGTGTGACAGCCTCCCTGATGCTAACGGCGATATATCCTGTCCTCCCCCACAGACCCCATTCATTTATTCAATATTCCAAGTATCCATTAATAATACAGAATTAAATATATATCTAGCAGAGGTTATACCGACATTTGTTACCATACATTAGCTTTCTAGAACCATTTTATTCACAATTTTACCATAAAGCAACGAATAAAAACGTTAAAATACCAAAAATAATGCCAAAATAAGCTGATTTGGTCAATTTTTCTTTGAAGGAAAACTACAAGATCTATAAATCATTTATTCTTATCATGCAAAAATATAAGCAAAATAGTTAAAAAAGCATTGACTCTTGGTTTTTATATAGACAGTAAAGCTATCAGCACTCTGTAATTTTTTATGAATAGATGCAATATTTTGTTACGTACTGTATTTTTATCTCTACTCTTCTCAATTTGGAGATTTCTATCTTTTTTTCCTTTTGTAAAATAGCATAATCATTGAAAATATTCTAAAATAACATAATTGTTAGAGATTATTTAACATCCTGAAAATGATTTCTAAAATATTAAGAACATTGATTTCATAATTTATTATAGCAAAACTTACAGGTGTACTTATTAATGATTATTACAAACTACGAAATATTGATGGAAATCAGAAGTAAATCTTCTTTTCATTAATATCCATGCCCTATGCATTTATTTTGCAGGAGAGTAGCCATTTTCTTCAATAACAGTTGGTTGCAACTTAAACACAAACAGTGTGGTTTAAAAAATTTAGTCGCGATTAACTTTCCAAATTATTCGTCGATGATCTCAAATTATGTTTGAAAACAGTATGATTTCCTCAAATCATACTTCTCGTAATGAATCACACAGGCAAACAAAAAATTATGTTAGATTTCGAGATGTAAACTGAATTGAGAGAACTCACGGACTGAGACATTATCCGTTCAAGCACTAACTGCGATGTGGCGGAGGACGCAAACGAGAACGTATTTCCAGAAAGTAACGCCGCCGCGGCCGAATCCTCCGCCGCCTCAGCAGCTGAGAAACGGTTGTTATCCGCCGCGACAACAGAGTTTGCTCCGGTATCATTAGGAAGTCCAGATTTAGGAACCAATGGAGATAGCGGAGAATGTAGAGTTTTTGAGACCTGAAGAGCGGCAGCGCTCCATGATCTCGACAAAAACTCCATCGGCTTCCTTGGACTCTCCGGCAGCTGAAATCCGCCGCCACCGTGATTCTGTTCCTGCCAGGCGGTGTCCATTTTATCAGCAAAAAGACAAAGGTTGATGAAGGGGTTTTTTTTGTTAATATTTGGGCGTTTTTTGCGCCCTTATTTTTAACGTTTTATAGACGGGTGCGATAGGTTCGGGTCGGGTCAAATATTATTGGTTCGACCCGGTCAACATTTTCTTCCTATCCGGTCTTTTCATTGGTCCATACGCTCGGGACCCACAATTTCAATGCATTTGGAAATAAACAAACGTGTAATTCCTCCATCTTTTAAAATTAAATGAAAGTATTATTTGTTTTTAAATTAAGAATAAATTACACCGAAGGTCCCTGTGGTTTGCTTAATGCTCGGATATCGTCCCTTAAACGAAAATCTTATTTTAAGAACCTGTAAAATTGTGATAATCTTATAACTACTGTATCATGTGTTTTTTATCTGGTTTTTTTTATCTATGATTAAGATTTATAATATTGGTTAATATTTATTTGTTTCATAATGTGAACATTTTTCACTTGTTTGGGTAACAAAAGTTACATGTAAAAAAAAAATTACACATTATAAACCGGATACATATGAAATCATGGACGGACCTACTATAGGGGATACAGTGGTACGTGCCACTGTTTATTCCTCCATCGAAGGGTACAAATTTTTAGGTTCGTGAAAGGTGCAACCATATTAATTTATTGTGTGTCACCTAGGGGTGAGCAGCGGAACCGGATACCCGGCTACGGAACCGGAACCGCCGGTTCCGGAACCGAAACCGATATGAGTGGTTTCGGTTCCTAAAATACGGAACCGATTGAGAACGGTTCCGGTTCCGGTTCTCAATTTTTTGGAACCGTTACCCGCCGGGTACCCGGTATTTTTCAATAAAAAATAATTATTATTTTTTAATACCAAATTTATATTAGGTTTACATCTTGAAAGCACACCGTCATCTTCATTCTTCATCTAAATTCTTCATATAAAATGATTCGTATTTTTTCAAATTGTGTGTTCACTTGGATTCATATTATGTAATCGTTAAACTTTGAACATTTATCATTATAGTATGTAATCGTTAAACTTTGAACATTTTCTATTAGTCTATTATGGTTTGTAATCGTTAAACAATATTTGTAACCATTATTCTGTATAATTTGTATTATTGCTTATTTATTTAGTGTTTTGGCAATGTTTTATTTTTTATTTTTAAATAACAAAATTTTAATATTTTAGGAAGCGGGTACCCGGAACCGGAACCGGTTCCCGGCGGTTCCGGTTCCAATATCTCAAGAACCGCCGGTTCTGGTTCTGGTTCCTGTCAAAAAGGGCGGGTACCCGCTTATGCTCACCCCTAGTGTCACCGTATGTATTTTGAAACTACAATTATAACAAGTTTTATTTGGTAGAGTTGGTTTGCAAGACTTTTATTTCACTTCAAACCCAAGTTCGAATCCTGTTAATGTCATTTTCTTAGTTAAATGGTGTCATTGTTTGAAAAAAAAATTCATATATTTGTTTCTTATAGTCAAGCGGTGTCACGGTTTGAAAAAAAAAATCTGTGTCCATCCCTGTATGAAATAAACACATTGTGAAATAAATATATATTAATCAATATACTATATGGAAAAATCATGTAAAACGATACCTTATATAAAAGTTCTCATGGTTATCACAATATATAAATTTCTCAAAAAATTAAAGTCTCTGTACCGAAAGTTCTATTTGTCTTAACTTTTCATTTTCCTTGTAGATATGATCCCTCGAGTAAACACCATTAATGAAGTTCTATTTGTCTCACCATTAATTTATTGTGTGTCATCGTATGTATTTTTAATGATGTTGTCTCATATATGGATATGAAATTGTTTCATATAATACTTAATGAAATTTTAATGAAACTGTTTCATGTATTTTTCTAAAATTAAAATATTGAAGATGATAAAAGTCATGATTAACACCCTCCACAATAAAAATGACTAATCAACCTCTCATAATTACAAAAAAAAAATGAACAAAATGGGAAATTTTGATCGGTTGAATGAGGTTTGTACGATTTTGTACAAATAACATGGTTTGCAAAGTAAAACTCCTATTATATATATAATTCATTAAACTTGGGATCATGTTTTAGAAGGTTATTTTCGTGAGACAACATTTTTACACTTGAAATTCACAAGAAAACACTGTGAAGGTAACCTTCACGGTGTTTTTGCTGTGAAGGTTCGACTTTTTTCACTTTCACAACATTTTGTTGTGAAGTTTCATATGTAAAAATGTTATCTCACGTGTCTCACGAAAATAGGCTGTTCTCACGTGAACCCAACCCTAATTCATTACGTATCAGTTAATTTAGTTTACAATTTTTTTCCCAAAGATTATAAGGAGCTAAGGTAAAAGACATATTTGCCCTCATGTGAGAGATGCATGCTTCAATACAACGAAACTCCATCAATGATGTTAACTTAAGGGACTACGTATATAAAATAAAAATAAAAATAAAAAAATATAAGAGACATCCGATGTAGATAGTCCGTTTGAATGACCAAATCTGATATTTTAACAAATCATAAGGACCGATAATGTAACTCACGCAAAAATATATATTATATTTTTAAAAAAATATTTTAAAACTATATAAAAGCATTTTATTTTCTAAATTTTTATTTAAAAATTTATCAATTTAATATAAATAATTAAGATGAAATAGAATCATAATCAATACTATCAATGTCTTATAATAAATGAACAAAATGATTTTAAACTCATATATTTATAAAATCCAATATTTTTTATTTTCTAAAATGATTTAATATAAAAAATATTATATTTTTTTATTGAATGATAACAATTGATATTTAAAAAGTGGGACATTAGAGTGATTGGATACTCATATATAAAATTCCAAGTCTCATCCTCAAATCATCATTTGAGGTGCACTATTGAAAATTGATATTTTTCTTTATTTTAAAATAAATTTAAATATTTATTTGAAATAAATATTTTTTTAAATAAATATATTAAAAAATGTTATAATTACATATTCATAAAGTTGCATATTTTAGTAATATGTTGAAATACACTCAATTTTTTTTTTAATAATATCAATATGTTTAATTAAATATAATTAGGAATGACAACGGGCCGGATTCGGGCCGATTATTGGTATTATCGTCTTCGAAATCGATAACTAAACCCGTTCCTATAACCGTCTCAATCCCCGTCGGGTCCCCGAAATTACCACGATCCCCGCTAAGGGTAAAAATCCTCTCTTTCCTGTTGGTTTCCCCACTCGTTGTTGGTTATACCCGAGCCGATCTGAAATAAATTACAATATGTTAATTTTCACAACTAAAAGTAAATTACAATTTTTTAGAGACTTAAGTTTAAATGTCTTAAACATGATCAAACCAATTACAAATTTTTTTTTCTTAAATTGCAATATAAAAGTAACAAAAATTTAAACATCATACAACTAACATCATGATTAGACAAATAAACTAGACTTTTTCGTGAGCCTTATTTGGGGTGTTGAGGTAAAGTTAATAAAATTCTTTTAAATTTTAATGTTAGTATTTTATTTAATGATATTATATAAATAGAGTTCGTTTCAAATGCAACTCATCACATTTGTACAACCAAAACAACCCAATAAATTGAGATGTTTATATAAATGATTAGAATTCATTTATTATGATTTGAATTTTTATGGAAGATGAATATAGTTCATTAATTATGATCAATACTTTATATTGAGAAACAATCAAAACTTCTATGAAATCACATATTCATCAAATTAAATGTACGGTTGAGATTGGGTTATATTGGTTGTACAAATGTAAAAAAGTTGTATAATAACTTCTCTCTCTTTCTATATATATATATATATATATAAATTAAAATTTTTATATATATACACATATGGGGCGGGCCGGTGATCACCGTCTCCGCCCCCATCCCCGATCTCAGTTAACATGTCCCCGAACCCAACCCGAATGTTTTTTTGGTTTTCACCGTCGATATCGAGTTTTTTGTCCATCTCTAAATATAATTAATAAAAACAAAAAGCATGCGCTAGTCGACGTAGCTGTATTGACCCATGGGTCAAAATAAGTTTGTCTTGATCCATTGCTCATTTTATATATATATATATATATATATATATATATATATATATATATATATTTTATTAAATACAAATTTTGTATTTTATATTTTTTTTATAAATATTTTTGGAGCATAAGCAATTTCAATAATAAAGAAGGGTGTTAATGTCTTTTTTTCATAATAAATAATGTGCCAGAAAAGAATGTGATTGTCTTTTTCAATAAATAACAATTAAAATGATCCTTAAAATAGATATTGAAAATAGCTTTTCTATTAGCCAATTAAATTGTAAATAATTATATAAATAAAAATTGTAAAAAAAAATCCAATTAATATTTAAAAAGGCTTTTTGTAAATTCAATAATACCAATTTTATGCATTAAAATGATTTTTTTTCGGATGTAATTTAATAAAAATATTTTAACTAAGTAAACTATATTGGTTTTACTTATTATAAGTTACTAGTAGGATGAATACATAATACAACGAAATACATCTTAATTTTAATGTTTCGTTTTATTTTTTTATCTCTGTCGATATAATACAGTTTTTAGTAGTTTTGAGAAAACGATAATATTTTTATTTTTAAATAAAATATAAATTTAAAAATATCAAAAAAAATTATATATATATATATATATCCAATATTAGTATCAAATTTACTATTTAAAGTTCTCATTTTTTTATAATTTCTTTAATTCCATATTTTATTTTATAACTTAATATAGATTTAGTAACGAAGTAATTTATGTTGATCCTCTCTCTCATTGATTTGTTGATAATCCCTTTTTCCTTTCGATGTATTTATGTATCTGTAATTTCAGTTCCAGCGATCATACACTGAGCTTGTTCAGTGATCGCTGATGAACTTGTTTTGAAATTCATT